GTCAAAGACCAGGAAGTAGTTCTATTTATCATCTAAAGTGGCCCTACCATATGGCATTAACACAAACACAGCTGACCATCCACAATCACTGCCAGCTTGGAAATTAAGCAAATCTCTTCACATCTTAAAAATGTGGACAAATTCACACATTTCAAAAATAGTATATAAATGAAACTTTAATGTTTTATTACTTTTATTTTATGTAAGTCATTTACATATAATGTAACCAATATAAATATATGTATGTATCATTAAACCTGAATAGAAGACCTGAAAACATAAAATATATAGAATAAAACTGGCTAAACACTTCATGATATACATCTCAGAAACATCTTTGAAGACTCATCTGCCAAAGCAAAAAAAAATGAAGGAAAAGATAAAACATCTGGGACTATATCAAACTAAAACGCTCTGTACAGCAAGAGACAGTGACCAAAATGAATACCCACCCTACAGATTAGGAGAAAATATTTGCACTCCATACAACTGGTAAGAGACTTTTATCAAAGATCTACAAAGAGATTATACAACTCAGTAAAAACAAAATAAACTATCCAGTCAAAAAATGGGCAGAAGAGCTAAAAAGACACTTCTCCAAAGAAGAAATGCAGATAGCCACAGGCATATGAAAAAATGCTCAACACCATTTATAATCAGGGAAATACAAATCAAAACCACAAGCAGCCACCACCTCATACCACTAAGAATGGCCCTCATTAAAAAAAAAAAAAACTGACAACAACAAATGCTGGCGAGGATACAGAGAAAAAGGAACCCTCTTACACTGCTGGTGGGAAGGTAAACTGGTCCAACCACTATGGAAATCTATATGAAGGACCCACAAATTATTAAAAATAGATCTATCCTATGACCTAGCAATCCCACTCATAGGAATCTACCCAAAGGACACAAAAACATTAATTTGAAAGGAAACCCACACTCCTAAGTTTATTACAGAACTATTTATATAATACCTAAGACATGGAAATAACCTAAATGCTCACAGATGACTTGATCAAGAAGATGTGGTATATATACACAATGGAATACTACTCAGCAATCAAAAAGATAAACTCATGCCATTTGCAGCAACATGGTTGGAGCTGGAAGGGATTATGGTCAGTGAACTAAGTCAGAAGGAAAAAGAAAAATATCTGATGGTTTCGCCTATAGGAGCAACACAGAGAAGCCAAACAAGGGGTCAGGGAAAAAAAAGACAAAACTAGCAGGCAAACTATAAACTGGAGACATATAACAGGGGAAGGGCAGGGATCAAAACAGGGGAGGAAAGAGCACAAGACTATGGTGACAGTTCATGGATGATTTGGTGGTGGGAATTTTATGGGAATTATACCTGAGGGAAAAAATCAAACATACAAAAATGAACAACAATGTAAAACAAACAAACAAATATAATAAAAGAAATCTTATCTTTAAAAGTAGTCATTCTGGAGAGTAAAATAATGATTTTTATTTTACATGCTTTTTAAATTTTCCAAAATTTTCAGTCAATACATTGTTTATTTAAAGAGATGAAAATGTTTTCTCCATCTATACATTTTATTCTTCTCCCTATTTTTTAATTGCAATGAAAAATATGTAATACAAAATCTACCATTTTAATCATTTTTCAATTGTGCAATTCAGTGGTATTAAGTATTGATAGATTCATAAAACTGTGCACTCATCCCAAACAGAAACTTTGCAGCCATTAAACAGTAATTCCCATTCCTTCCTCCCTCCAGTCCCTGCTGTCCTCTATTCTACTTTGTTTCTGTGAACGCCTATTCTGGGTCTCTCATGTAAGCAGAAACACAGTATTTGTCCTTTGTGTCTGGTGTGTTTCTTTTTTTTTTTTTTAAAGATTTATTTATTTATGCATACAAGAGCTGGGGTACAGGCCAGAGGTGTGGGGGGTGAGAGGACTCACCAGAGACAGAGTGGGGAACAGAACAGGCAGACTGACTGAAGTACACTGCTAAGGGGAGAGGCAGGTGAGACAGGAAGGTCTGCTGCCTCATGTGGGTTGCTCCCTGGCCGGCCAGGGATCGAACTCGTATTGCCAAGGCTGTGGATTGCTTCATAGTGTGGTGCTTAACCCCTCGCACCACCAGGGAGGCCTGTGTCTGGTATATTTCACTCAGCATGTTTTCATGATTCAGCCACATTGCAGAATCTCTCAGAATTTCATTTTCTATAATATTCCATTGCATGGATATACCACATTTTGTTTACTCAATCTTCTATTAGAGTTGTTTCTACCTTGTGGTTATTGTAAACAATGCTGCTCTGAATACTGGTATACAAACACCTGTTTCAATTCCTGCTTTTGAATCTTTAGGGTATATACCTAGGAGTTGAATTGCTGGATCATATGGCAAACCTATTTTAATTTTTTTGAGCAATCACCAAACTGTCTTCCAAAGCAATTGGGCCATTTTACATCCCACCCCCAACAATGCCCCAGGGCTTTTATTTCACCTCACCCATGCCCAACATTTAATATTTCCGCTTTTTTGACAAGAGCCTTACCAAGAGTCATGAACTGGAATCTCACTGCCTATGTGGATTTTTTTTTTATATAAAAAATAGACTAATAAAAAAATACACTAATAATGTGTAACATTTTCTGATGTCAGATACTGTTCTGAAGACATATTATCAATTCATTTAGTTCCTATAAAAGTCCTAGTAAGTACTATTATTCTCATTTGAAAATAATCAAAGTGAGGGAAGGTCAGTAACCTAGTCAGATGTAGGTAATAAAGTATTCAAAAGAAAAATAAAAATACAGAGAAACATGAAATGAAGATGAAAAATTTAACATCAGGGCCTCCCTGGTGGCGCAAGGGATTAAGATGCAACCTATGAAGCTTCCGCATAAGTTCGATGCCCAGCTGGCCAGGGAGCAACCCATGTGGCACAGCAGACCTCTCCTGACTCACCAGCTGCTGCCCTCAGCAGTGTGCTTCGGTCAGTCTGCCTGTTCTGCTCCCCCCCAGCTCTTGTATGCATAAATAAATAAATCTTAAAAAAAAAAAAAAAGAAAAATATAACATCAGATCAAGAATAAACCCCCACCATCAAACACGTGGTTGTATTTCGTCCTAGGATTTTTTCAGTGCATTCTGAAAAATTGAAGACAACAAAACACATTGTGTGTTTTTCACTTGTAAGCATTTACCTGTTGTTACAATTAATTGTGAACATTATTCGTAATGGATGCTTATTAAACTTTATTTTTTTTTATTTTTTTTATTTTTTTTTTTTAATAGAGGCATGCTTTATTTATTTGTTTGCTGGTTTGTTTGTTTGTTTTTTGTTTTTATACATGCACTGGGTACAGTCAGAAGCGCGGGAGGGTGAGAGGATTCACCAGAGCCAGAGCGGGGAGCAGAGCAGGCAGAAGGACCGAAGTACACTGCTGAGGGGAGCAGCGGGCAGCAGGAGAGGTCTGCGCGCCATGTGGGACCCTCCTCTGGTGGCCGGGGAGCAGCCGGGGATCGAACCGGCGCCGCAGAGGCCGCGGGCAGCTTCGCAACCCAGCGCTCAACCGCTGCGCCACCGGGGAGGCCCGCTTATTAAACTTTAATTTAGCCATCCCAAATTCACTTAACTTTAGTCATGCTAACATGAATTCAAACAATTCCTATTGTGAGACATTTAGTGGTCTCCTCTAATTTTTTTTCTTAAATACATTTTTAAAATAGGCAGCCCATTGAAGAGCACAAGGGACTTTGGAGATGGTACATGAGTGATGTGGCTGTAGAAGATTTATGAGGACTAGACCTGAGCAGACAAGTCAAGTGCTGTACAAAAATGAACAGCAATGTAAGAAAATAAAGAAGTTTACTCAATGAAAAAAAAAAAAAAAAAGACAGCCCATTCACATTGCTCAAAAATCAAAAAGTATAAAAAGCTTTATAATCTCCCTCCTGCCTCCCCTTACCAACAAGTAACCACTGATACTTGTTTTCAAGGCTCTTACCAGAGATTTTTTTTACATTTTCAACACAGCCATAATATCCCTATATCAATCCTTATGATGGGTATTTGCTTATTCATATCTTGCTGTAATAAATATTTCTGCAGTAAACAGCCTAGAATATATGTCTTTCCCCAAAAGTGAGACTAAATTCATTAAAAATCTATAGAAATAGCCTCCTGATCACAGCCTCTACATCAGCCTTCCCAGAGCACAAAAGGTCAGCTGTTTCAAGGACAGGAACAATGTTCACTACTTTTTCTATGTACCTAATACGGAGTAATAATGGCCTCCACACATGCAGGTATACAGATGCCAAAGAACACCTCCACATAATTTCCTTCATCTCTGAACTTTAACGTGCACCAAAATTACATGGAGGCACCTATACCCCCACTTTCTGATTTGGTAGGTCTGGGGTGTGGCCTGAGAATCTGCATTTCCCAATGACACTGTGCCCTCCCGAGAGGGCCTCTTTGAGAATCATGATTGTAGACAGACAGTGCTTGAGCAAAAGCAACAAGGGACATACAGGGTGTCCCAGAGTGGTAACATGGCAGTTTCTGAGAGATAAGCTTTCTGTGAATGGCCAAATAACACAGTCAGAAGTCTAGAAATGAAAACTTGCAAAACAAAATAACCTTCTTCTCTAGCAACAGATAAACTGCCCTTCTTATAAAGGTGAGCTGACATTCAAGACTAAGTTAAAACTATTTAACTCTGTGATGCAGCCTTCATTATCCCTAACCTGCATCTTTCAACTCTGCAGTGTAAGCCAACTTTGCTTCACACAGGTAATCAATAACACAATGAGGCAACAGCTTTAGGGGCACACAGTTGACGAAATGTACAAAGAACAGAAACCAGCATCACTCTTATTCCTTATAAGGATAATACACTAAGATATACTGAATTTTAACATTTTACTTCGCGTGCTCTAAGTTAAAATTCTTCCAAATAAAAAGATGAAGCCTGTGTAATAGTTTCAATTTAAAGAATCTTCCATACTCACCAAAACCATCGATATCTAGATTATTTTCAATCACAACATCTAGCAGGGAGTCACCAACGTTGCCTTTGGCTGTTAATGTCTCACCATCGCGATTTATAAAGTGGACAGTTATTTTATCTTCTGAGCTGGAAAAGTAAGCAGTCCTTCATTATTATTAGTTATTTCTCAAGATATTTTTACTGGTTTTAGAATTTGTAAAGTCAAAAATATTGTGTGTATACACATGTTCAAATAGGTTTTTTATAGTATTTTGTTTTCTTTTACAAGCAACAAATAATGTCCATTCCCCCATCCCCCCAGAGGGAAACGCTCCTATCTTAAAGGAAAAATCAACTGTGTCACGATCAAGGCCACCAGAAGAATGAGTGTCCCCAGGGGTCATGGTCACAGGCACATGGAGATATTTAACAATCACTACAGCTTCTCACACAGCTCTCTGAAAGTCCGTGCTTCTAGGACAGCGTCCCTGAAAGATCAGGTCAAGGCTGAGGTAACCTTTAAAAAACCCATCCATCAGGCAACTGTGGGCTGCAGCTTGAGGGGTTTCTGAGGACTAAACATCCATCACATCTAGACCCATGCTGCACACTCAAAATCGAAGGGACTAGGACAGGCCTTTGTTGGCCTATTTGAATCTGCAGGCAGATAAATAAAATGCCTCATTACAGGCCTTCCTGTCGGATAGCCTGTTATCAGCCGGCTGACTACTTTCTTTTCCTTCTCACAAACATATGGAAATGATACCACACATATCGGAAATAGCAATGTGACCAGCTAGATCCTTATTCTCCACCACCAGTCATTTAAATTTCTACCTCACTTTAGCTTAAAGGAATTTGTTGTGATTTTCACTGCTGCCAACAGATGGTAACAGTCCACAGAAAAATGTAATGCAAGCAAAACCTAGAATTAAATAATTTCAGAGCTATGACTATCTTACAAATTATCAAGCCCAGTGATCTCATTTCACAAAGTAACTGAAGCCACCAGCAGATAATGGCCTCTAATTTACACTCAAGTATGTGTGTGTGTGCCCACGCGCAAGCGCACACAAGAGAGTGAGAGAAAGAGAGAGAGAGAGAGAAGGGGGGACGAGAGAGGGAGAGAGGGGCAGGGGTGGGAAAGACAGTGTCTTTCAAAAGGGTCTGTGCTCTTTAGCTTCTTGCTTTAAAACAAGTATTCTGGGCCTCCCTGGTGGCACAGGCAGTTGAGCGCCGCACTGTGAAGCTGTCCGCAGCCTCTGCAGTGTGGGTTCGATCCCAGCTGGTGGGCGAGAATCCCACATGGCACTGCAGACCTCACCTGTGTCTCCCGCTGCTCCCCTCAGCAGTGTGTTTCATCAGTCTACCTGTTCTGTTCCCTGCTCTGTCTCTGATGAATCCTCTCATCCTCCCACACATCTGGCCTATACCCCAGTTGTTGTATAAATAAATCAATCTTTAAAAAAAATAAAATAACTTGATGTTAAAAAAACAAAGAAAACAAGTATTCTGAACATTGCTCATGATTTTCAAGGTAGCATGGTTTACAATGAAGACACACTGGAAGCAGGAAGTCCACTTTGAAAGTTATTGAAACAGCATGAGAAGGATGGAGGAAATACTGACCTAAAAGATATTCAAGAGGTAGAGTTATAATGTTTCAGTGACCATCTATATAAGATAGACTTGGGGAGGAGAGCAAATAATGTTAAAAATTTCCAACTGGAGCAATTAAGAGGTATAATTTAAGCTAGGGTTAACAGAAGAAGAGAAGGAGCTTTGGGGAAGATAGAAATGAGTTCAGGTTTAGAACTGTTTAATGAAAGGAAAAAAAAAAAAGAAGAAGAAAATGTCTGAAAGCCTGATGAAAATATGGTCTGAGCCCAGCAGAGAGGTTTAAAGCTTTGACATCAGACATGGCCTAGAAGCTAAAACTACTAGAAGCAATACCAGAAAGAAATGCACCATTTAGTCACAATACTCAAGGTCAGGGGTCTTACGATTGCTAGTATAGCGAAGAAATCTCTTTTATATCGATTCTTCTTGATAATCAGGTCCATTTAAGTTCTGACAACGCAAAATACCTAATACATACTAGAACACAAGAAACACTTATGAATAACTTTTATTTAAAGTCTGAGTGCTTGGGTTGCTTACAGGCTGAACTGCTGCTATGTACTGAAAGGATGCAGGAAAGACCAGAAAGGGGTCCCAGGGAGAAGCACGGAATACAAATAAGGCTGACCAAAGGACAGGAGGAGGAAGCAGAAATGGTAATTCTGCAGTTGCAGTGCAGTGTATGGCCCCTGGAATCAGAAGGTACGGGATCTAGCCCTGGTTCTGACAGATCCTCAGAGAGGACCACGGGAAGTCACTTCCTTCTTCAGAATAGAATGGGGATAGCAGCGGCTTTACTGAGCAGCTTGGGAGAATTAAAGGAGAGATGTGAGGGAATCACTTTTTTCCCTAGAGCATATACACCCGACTTCACCCAAGTAACTTTAACATTCACTATTAAGCTGATGTTCGTGAGTTTTGTAGATTCCCCACCGCACCCCCAATTGTAAGAACTAACGAAAAGGTTTTAGTTGTTCTCCAGGATAAGACTGCGTGCACTGGGAAATAAATAGGATCCTTCTAAATACTCTATTATCAATGCATTTGCCATCTCTGCAAACAATTATTTTCTTCACTTGTCACCCTTTAGGTGGCCTAGAGCACCTGGATCAAGGAAAGGGCTCAGTACAGGTCTCCCTACTTCCACAGCCACCTTAAGTCTTCCATATACTTAGCCTACAGGCTAAATAATTCTTCATAAAAACTATTTGTGTTCTAGTCCTAGTTTTGCCAGCTAACTTAATATGAAAAATTTCATTCCCATTTATCCACCCACCTACCTCACAGGATTGTCTTAAGAGCCAAGTGAAAAAATATATGTGGAAGTCCTTTGCAATTTAAATCACTACAAAATATAAAGGATGGTGTGAGTATGTTGGGTTCAGAGGAGTTTGTCCAACTCTCAACTACTGATAGCTTATTTAAATGTTAATCTTCAAAGTCAGAACCACTTCTAGAGTGCTCTGTCCAATCAAACGTGGTCAGTAAGTGAGATGTTCTATGCCTACAACTTTATATTTGAAACATAGCGAGTGCAACTGGGAAACTCAATTTTTTATTTTATTTAACTTTCATTGCCTTAAACAGCAACATCTAGTTAGTGGCGATCCTATTGGACAGCAAAAATCTCAAACAGTACAAGTTAGAAAATCTACAAGTAACTCTCATGGAAGCACAAGGCCATTGACAGAAACTGTGTAAACTAAGGGAAAAGCAGGATTATGAGAGGCCAGATGTGCCCCCTTTAAAATATATATGTCCCTGGTGGTGCAAGAGGTTAAGACGCAACCTAAGCTTCCGTAGCCACTGCAGCACAAGTTCGAGGCCCGGCCAGGGAGCTACCCACATGGTGCAGCAGACCTCTCCTGACTCACGCGCTGCTCCCCTCAGCAGTGTATTTCAATCTGCCTGTTCTGTTCCCAGCTCTGTCTCTGGTGAATCCTCTCTCTCTCTCACACACACACCCAGCATCTCTGGCCTATACCCCAGTACTTGTATGCATAAATAAATCTTAAAATATATATGTGTATATATACACACACACACAAATCAAAATGTAATGTAAACTTGGATATAACTCCCATTAACAAAAACATTCATATTCTTGTAAATAGTGATTACACACATGTTCATTATATGTCCCAGTAGTTATAGGATGTGTCTAGAATGTGTCCACTGCAGAAAACATGGATGGAGGGAGGGATCAAAGGCAGAGCAGAAGTATTGGGGAAACAGTGACAAATAAATCTGGCTTGCCTTCTCCATTATCTCCCGCCAAGTGGACGCCCCACAGACTCATTAATCACCAACTACATAATAAGATTAGGGGGAAAATGAGTTAATTCCTACACCCCTATTATCAGGGACCTTATCAAAAAAAAACCGAGAAAGTCAGCAGACAAATCCAAGCCTCTCCCCCTCCAGTTGTAAGGGGGGGGTGCGGGGGGAGACTGTGAGCCAGGCGTTCAGAGTCCACATTTTATAAGCCTTCACCCGTTGCTACACTCTGCAACTGTGGGTAAAGTTTATCTCTAGTTTATCTCAGGGGATTTCTGTTTGAAAAATGAAAAATTTCCCCATTTCTTTCCATGGTTGATACAAAACACTCAACCACGTGGGCTAACAAGCTGCTGCTAACAGGTGGGAGCTGCCAGGCACAAGACCACCCCCTTACCTTTCCCGCATCAGTGCATTTGTTCTTCCTGCACCCCGCGGGGCTGCACCCACGATCCTCCACCCACGAGTGGGGAAAGGGACGTTTACACAGTGAGGCCACTAGACAAGTCAGGCAAAGGCCACCTCCACCTGACACCTGCCCGGCGGCCTAACGCGGGGCTTGATTCAGGTGTGCAGAGCAGCCCCTGACCGGCACCACAGAGGCACAGTGGGGGCGGGGAGTGGGGGTCGGCCAGAAGCACAGAGGCGCTTAGGAAGGTGACCCCGCGGGTTCCCGGCCGCGCCCCGAGAGGTCGCTGTGGGGGCACCCTGAGCAAAGGTGGCAATTACTGCGCGCACAAGAGAACCCGGACCCCGGGGCCAGGCCCCCACATTCGGGAAGGAAACTTCTCGGCGGAAGAGCGGGGGGCCAGAGGCCGCCTCGAGCGACCCGCGAGGCCGCGCGGGGTAGGCGGAGCGAGCGGGTGGCCCCGGACTCGCGCCGGCCCCGGCTGGACCCCCGCGCCGCCCGCGCCTCACCTGCTCCGCGCCCGCGCCGACAAGCTCAGCGCCCGCGAGGCGCCCAGGCCCGGCTCGGCGCTCCCCGCCCGGCCCCGGCTCCCCGCGCGGCCGAAGAGGAGCCAGCTCCGACGGGCCGCGCCGCCCAGGCTCGCGGAGGCGGCGCGCAGGAGCCGGGCGCCCCCTGCGGCGGACATGCCGGCGGTCGGAAGTGGCCCGAGGCGACGCAGGCCGCGCTGGAGCGGCCCGAGCGCGGCGCCGGCGCCTGACGCCTGACGCCCGAGGACCGCGACGAGCGGCGACCAGCCCTGAGGCGCGGCGGCGACGGCCTGCTCCGTGCGCACCCCGGCTGCGCGCGCCGCCTGCGTGACCTATAAGGCGGGCGCCTGGAGCGGCCCCGCCCCCGCCCGTTCCCACGCCTCCCGCGCCCGCTCCCCAGGGGGCGGGGCTGAGCGCGCGACCACGGCCCCACCAGCCCGTTTCCCGTGGCCTTGCTGCCGCCTCCGCCCTGGGCGCGCCGCGCAAAATGACACATGGTAGGGGCCTCCCTGGTGGCGCAAGGGGTTAAGATGCAATCCATGAGGCTGTCCGAAGCACGAGTTCGATCCCCGGCCAGGAAGCACCCCACGTGGCGCAGCAGACCTCTCCCGACTCGCCCGTTGCTCACCTCAGCAGTGTATTTCACTCAGTCTACCTGTTCTGTACCCCGCTCTGTCTCTGGTGGATCCTCTCACCGCCACCCCTTCACCCTCCATGCCTCTGGCCTGTACCCCAGATCTTGTATGCATAAATAAATAAAAAATACATAGTAAAAGGCAGTTCTGGACTTTGCCACACAAGGACAGTAGACAATTTTATGAATTTTACAATGTCATTAGGCATGATAAAAAGTCATAAATGATCACGCTAATGAATAGTCTTGGGGCTCCTGGAAAGAGTAGGTAGGAGCCCCAATCTTTGACTAGCAAACAGGTGCGTGTGAGTGCGTGGAACGCTTGAGGATCACCAAGAAACTTTTTGATGAACTGCTTTTTTTTTTAAAGACTCACAAAACTGGAAGGATGACTTTATTTTTTCTTTTTTTTAACATTTTATTTTATATAATTCTTACATCATTTTTTATTTTTGCATAATGTATTTTCATTTTGGTTATATTCCCCATACAATTGCACCCCCCCCCTTTATTTTGACCCTAGTCCTTCCCTTCCCCCCCCCCCCCGCAGTGTGTCTCTGGTTTATAGTTGCTTGTTGATTTTGATTTTTACTTGAGAAGTAATCAATAAAGTCTAATCAATAAAGTCTTTTTCCTGGTCCATTATTTAGGTTTTCTAAATTCCTGCTATGAGTGAGACCATCCGGTATTCTTCTTTTTCTTTCTGACTTATTTCGCTGAGCATGATCCCTTCTAGCTCCACCGGAAGGATGACTTTAATAACACACTTAATCATGGTTAGTACGTTGTGTGGAAAGAGCATGGGTTATGGGGTCACAAATAGCAATATCATCCAAGGTCTACCAACCCTGAGCTCTGAGACCTTGGATTGTTCTCTGCAGAGGATCAGCGTTCCCACAGCACGTAAATACGCATGAAAAGCAATGCGGGATAAGATGTTCCACCCTTCAGGGCCATTCTGAGGGTCAGACACAGTGACATGCGCAAAGGCACACAGCATGCGTCACAAACAGTGAGTTACAGCTCTCCCTGGCCCTTCAGCCCTGAGGCTACTCTTCAGATGGCTAAAGGCCAAAGTCATGGGGATATTGCAAATATGAGAAATATAATAAAAGACACTTAAAAGACCAGAACTAGAACCCACAGACCTGAGTCTAGCGAGGGCAAATGTTCAGCTCGAAATCACCTCGATCTTCTGAAAAAAGGAAAGATGTGCAGACTGGAAAAGGCACACTGGCAAGTAATTCACGAGAGGGGTTTGTGAAAGAATAGTTACTTTTTCACTGGAGACTCCATCTCCAAAGTCAGATGAATTAATTGTAGAACGAGAATTTGGGATGGGAGTGGAGGTGGGGAGGGAGATTCCATATGCTCCGTCTCCTCGCAGCCCTCCAATAGCAAATCCAGATTCGACTGGGTTATGGCGTACCTTGCCGCTTTGTAAGGTATTGTTTCTACCCAGATCATAGTTGTAAACATAGTTCATCTTAGCCCCCACGCTACCAGATACAGGGAGGATCTTGAGCACATCAAGAGCTCAGTAAATGTTTATGAATAAATTAATGTCAGTAACTTTCATTAGTAATCATAAGAAATCATGAAGCATCCACATTAAGATTAAAGATGGAGAAACGTTTTTCAGATTTTCAAAGGTGTGTAAGGGTTGATCTCAAAGATGATGGATATCAGTATTCTAAAGAATTCCATAATGGATTTGTAAACATACAAGCACAAATAAGCAACATGGAGTTAGTGAGAACACACTTTGTGTGTTTTTCCTCTATGAGACTCCAATAAATATCCCTCCAGTAAAAATCTGTTTGTATTTTGAAGCCCATTCAAATTCTTTCGCCTGAAGTCATGACTAGTCATTCCAACAGATCATCCTATATGGCGAATGCCTAAGAGCCTTATTTAGTCTTGTAAAAGGTATAGTAGCAGTTGTCTCAAACAGGATAATGTTTATAAAAGTGCTTGGTAAACTGTATAGTATAAAAATATGGACTTGGTGTTTAGTGAGCACCTAGTTTGAGCCTCATGGTACCATGAGCCCTATCATACATACTTTGTATAGCTTCTCTTTGAGATCAATGCTTACCCACCTTTGAAAATCTGGATACAATTTGACCAGATACAATCTGGAGCCAGCTTTGTTCAATAAGACAGTTAGGCCTGTTGGTGAAGTAAGAGAAGTTTTGCAACTAATGGTGGCCAGTGTGCAATAAGGGTTCTAAACTGATAGGGGTTGGTGGCTTTGCTTAGAATGTGCATGGCTGTATTTTTAGAGTTACTAGATGGGGGTGACCCTTGTGCTAAATTCCTGTTCCACCTCATTCCCCACTCAGAGATTTCAGCCCCTTCCATAATCATGGGGCTCTAGAAGCCTGGAAGATCAGTGTTCTGTAGCTACTTCCTGCTGGAGGGGGGGCTTTAGCCTTACCTAAGGTAGGGACAGGAAATCTCTGCCTTCCTTATTGACAGGCGCAAGAGTCACGTCTTCTATTATATCAATAGGTACTGGCTACATTCCCCACATCAGCATCGTTTTGATACGGAATTGTTGCAGTATAGAGGAAACAGATTTGACAGTAAGATTGAGACTTCATGGTTCAAAAATGAGATATAAGAGTAATTATTGTTACCCCAGCTGGGGATGATAGCCAAGATAGTCACCCCTGGGAACCACAACTGTTGATCTAGGGATTCTCAAGGTTAATGCGCAAGGCTTTCCCTTCAAGTTGGCAATATGGCAATATTTATTCTTTCTGGCAAGGAGATAGTTTAACGCCAAGAGTGTAATACTTGGCTCTGATTTTGGTTTTTAAATTTCAGTTTGAATGGTGCCAATCATTTTACCTGTGACATTGTTTGTTTTTTAACATGCAGTAAAGTCTTTAGATGTTATATCTAGTTTTTATTGTGCCAAAATTTCAGGGCATAGACCCAATTCAAGAAGTCCCATAGCTGTTTCTCCAGTTACTCAGTTGGGTTTTGAGCACATTTCGTTAATCTACAGGTTTTAAAAAATACCTTAAATATATTTAGGAAGACTAGAATTTGATGGCCACAAAATGATTGAAATACAGTTTTCTCTCCACCTTCACTCCAATTTTATCAAATAATTATGGCAATACCAAGTGACTTGTAAATTAAGTCTGATTTCAATAATCTTGGCCAGTTTCTGCATAAGCACAGAAAGAACAAAATATAATTGTATTCTTCAAGCTTTACTGGGACCTTCAGAAGGAATCTCAGACAGAGCTCTTAATGGTACTTCTCAGGGCAGGAGACCATTCCACAGTCTCATAAAAGACTTGCCTGTAAAAACCTGTGTGTTTGGGTTAGTTGCTCTCATTGAGGCCAAAATATACTGGGGTCTCTGGTTCCCCCTAGGGAGTGACATTCTTTACTCTTTCTGGTAGACCCAAAACCAAGGCATTAGGCTGACTTTTTTTCAAAGACTCTGAAATCTGTGGATTCCTAAAAGCATTCTGGTTTCCAATCAAAGTCTCAGTCATTTTTCACTATAGAGGAAAAAGGAAAGTCTTACTGGATTTATGCAAACAAATACATTGCCAGATGTTTTATCTGATTTTTACTGTGCTAAAATTTCAGGGCATAGACCCAATGCAAGAAGTCCCATAGTGGGTTATTATATTTTGGCATGAGAGAAAATCTGTGTTCCAGTTTGTGTATAAAATGATGCAATTTACCATTGCTGCAGATCAAAGCACAATTTAAAGAGACTTTCTGGAAATAACAAAACATTAAAACTAATTTTCTCAATTTTTTTTAATTTATTTATGCATATAAGGCCAGAGGTGTGGGGGGGCAGGGGGTGAGAATGGGTGGATCTATTGAAACACAATGCTGAGGAGAGCAGCGGGTGGGACAAAAGAGGTCTGCTGCACCATGTATTTTCAGCTATTGAATTCATACCACACTGGCTGGTAATAGCTTGATAATACTGAGATTTTAACACCTGCAAGGCCCTAAAACCAGGGAGGCCCTAAAACCAATATTTTAAAACGTCATATATCAGTCCTTCTCAGGGTAGTTAGTCCCCATGTACTAAGTCTCAATCCTTTGTTAGCAATTTTTACAAGTTTAGTTTTTCTTAAATTCCATGGGTTCTTTTTTCAGTTCCATGACAAACCTTATTTCCTGAGTGTTGTCAGTTACTTTTTCTGTGAAGTTTTCAGATTACAAAATTTAGTAACTTCTGTAAATAGCAAGAGTTAAAAATAGCCAGTATAAAGCAACAGACAAGGTTAGTTATGTAATTTTGTGCATATGTATTTTAACATAATTAGAATTGACCAATAACATTATACCAGAAAAAAAATAAAATTCCATAATTTGTGGAATAGCCTCAAAAAAAATTATACCAGAAAATATTAGGTGTTAAGAAGTCATTTATTTTAGAATACTCCTATTATATATGCTGAAAAGGTGTTATCATTTCTTTCCATGCCTATACTATTTTAGAAGTTTGATATCAGGGAAGTTGTCATAGGCTTAACAAACTTACACAGATTTTGTATGAAATAGTACTTGATTACACAGTGACAAGTGAAGGATTTTTAAGGTAGATCTATTTTTGTGACAAGGCTCAGCAAATGCTCACAGGATCAGATGTCTGTTAACCACATCTGAGAGTGAAAGAGCAGGAAGATATTCAGGTTGCTTAAACAGTCTTTGTTATTAAAAGTTAGTAAAGACAGTTTTAGAATGCTTTAGTTCTTGTAGACAAAAAAATTAAACTTCGATTTTACGTAAGTACACTACTGATATTAAACCTTAGCTTACTTTTCTAACAAGCCATTAAACGACATAAAATTTCTTTCCCTAAGATAGCACTCTCAGACCTTCACATTTCTTATACCATTCCATTCCAAAGAAACCAGATTCATCTTTTTTTTTTAAAGATTTATTTATTTGTTTGTTTATTTATTTATTTATGCAAGCACTGGGTATAGTCAGAAGCGCGGGAGGGTGAGAGAACTCACCAGAGCCAGAGTGGGGAGCAGAACAGGCAGAAGGACCGAAGTACACTGCTGAGAGGAGCAGCGGGTGGCAGGAGAGGTCTGCACGCCATGTGGGACCCTCCTCTGGTGGCCGGGGAGCAGCCGGGGATCAAACCGGCGCTGCAGAGGCTGCGGGCAGCTTCGCAACCCAGTGCTCAACCGCTGTGCCACCGGGGAGGCCCGAAACCAGATTCATCTTGACACTAAATTCTTCTCAATACAACAGTGTTAATCTTCATAAAATGGGGAGGTTCCATGTTCCCTGCCCCACCTAATGAGTAAGGTTTAGTTTCCAAACCTGGAGTTGGTGGAGTTGAATGGGGAGAAGAAGCTGAAGCAGACCAGGACAGCTGACTTGGAAGAGGCATATGGCTCAAAGACATGTGAAGAAATAGGCCTGCTTGCTTCTCAGCTTTGGACTTATACCAGGTATTTGGGGGACATGGAAGGAAACACATGAGTAGAGAAATGTAGAGCTACTTAGATGAGATATGGGTGAGAAACCTGTGGGAGGCTGACAATCGTAACCTTTAACTTGATTTGTGCTTTGATTTTGCTCATTTAGTCCCAAACTTGTCTGGCCCTTTCTGTCCCTTTCCAATAGTTCCCACCAGTAGGTGCCTTAGGCAAGCTTTTGAGCCTCAGTGGCCTTCTTGGGGCCAACACTGTTTAGGTGGACATTTATGCACAAGGGGATGTGTAACTTTGGGTATTTTATTGGAAAATTATTATCTTTTATTCTCTTTTCTTTCTATGAACAATAATCCTTTGAAAGTTCTTTTCTAGTAAGGGGCCTCCATGGTGGCCTAGGGGCTAAGTCTCAGTACTATAACCTTTTAGACCTGAGTTCGATCCCCAGTCAGAGAGCTAAACCACATACGGCGTAGCAGACCTCTCCTGTCTTGCCTGCTGCTCCCCTTAGCATTGTATTTCAGTAGATCTGCCTGCTCTGCTCCCCACTTTATTGCTGGTAAATCCTCTCAACCCCCGCACCTCTGGCCTACACCCCAGTTCTATGCAAAAAATAAAAAGTTATTTTCTATTAAAGTTCTAACATATGCTTTGCCTTTATGAAGCGGATGGCAGAACCCATTTAGAATGTGTAGGTTTGGGGTACCTCTTAGGCTAACAGTAACACCTTCAAAATATCCATTGCCAACATATTTCTTCTTTCTAAACACACATTTCACTTTACTTGTATTCAGAGGTATTACACCCAAGTTTTTTAGATTTCTAGATTGTAAAATACTATAATAACTATCATCCCTTTAGACAAAAATTCTTTAGTTAAAATTATAATACTATTATATGTATATACACAAAATAAAATAAAATTATAATATCAATAAACTTTACCTAAAAATCTTTTTAGGTAATTTTAAAGAATAATAAGATTTCCTACCATTTAGATTTCTGCGGGGGGGTGGGGTGTAGAACTCAGGACTCTGAAATGACAAAAGCCTTCACCTCCTATGTTAGTATGTCTGGAAATACCAGAGACTATCCTGAAGGCATCTTGGGTGCCAACCTTTTTAGCCAGGCTGCTTCAGTTGATTTTAGGAGAGGACAGATATGAGGGAGACGGTAGAAGAAGAGAGAAAAACATTGATTGGTGCAGAGAGTCCAGTCCCCCTACAGCTAAAAGGCAGCAAGAGACTAACACTGGAGCAAAAGTCCAGGCAGCTGCTTGCTGAGAACAAAGGCAGCCTCCAAACCAGCTAGCTGCCATAGGGTATCTAACAAAAAGTTAGATACCCTATGTATGTATGTATCTAACAAAAAGTTAGATATCCTATGTATCTAACTGCCTCAGCAACACAGCAGATGATAAGGGGTTCAGGCTCAAATATGTTTTGCTCAAGTCACCATAAAATATTATAGGCCCTGGCCCAAAAGATTTCCTTTAGGGAAAGAATTGATCAGAGAGAGCTAGATATAGTTGCGCATTATATTTTCCATTCTCCAATTTATATTGGGCCACATGGTGTTGCAAAAGAATACCAATTTTTTTACTTAGCCCTTTGCCCGTTTTCTTAGTATACATAATCCATAGGGGAGTCACAAGGGACTTGATTGAATATTGCCCATGTTAGGTAGTGGCCCGACAGATCAGACACTTCTTTCTGTGCAAAAGAGAAGGAAGCACAAGAGAATGAGTCAAAATGCCGGCATCTGGATCAGAGCAGCGGGAGGAGCTGCTCCCTTGCTCCTGGTAACCCAACCGGAGATGGGCGACCCTCTCTCTCTCAGCCTTGATCCTGAGGTACCCAGGTGCCCTGGGCCCAACTAACGCCAGAGGGAAGCTCCCTGAGTCCCTCTAGGAAAAGAAACTTTCTCCTTCTCATCCATGGTTGGGTAATGAGGTGAACTCGATCAAGTCATACCTCAGAGAGCAGTTTTTAGTGACTAGGGCAAGGTGACTCCAAAAAGGGCACCCCAAATCACCTTTCCTTTCATTCTAATTTTCTGAGGCAGGAGAGAATAACCAATCCAGGCTGAGTTTGTTTTTCTAAAAAAAACAAATGTGGGAATCTTCGCAGCTTCAGGACTCTGGCTTAAAGAGCAGGTAAGGCAAAAAGAGCAGTGTCCCTTAACACAGCCAGAAGGGCCCAGGTGGGGGTACCGACCTATTATAACCTGCAAAGGCTGTTCCTCTGGTTAGAGGTGAGAGACAAAGGTAAGAACTCTGTTCTGATAAAGTGTGAGCAGTTGGGAGTGGGCAGCAAATACAAGAGAGGAGAGAGAGATTTTTATGGCAGTACAAGAGCAAAAGGAGAAGAGGCCATGTGAACTCCTTCCGTTGTGCTAATACTCTATCATCCCCTCAGGCTGACGTCAGGGGAAATCCACTGATCAAGTACGTATATCAGCATGGATCTGCATGAGGTGGGACAATATCCCCACCACATGATAAATCAGGGAGTGGTGATCAGTGGACAAGAGTAAGATTATGTTCTAAGCCTCCAGGTAGATGAGAGAAAAAAGAGAAAGAGAGTAACTCATCATACAGAATTTCTCCTGGCTGGCTTGCCACAATGACAGGGCCCAGGGGTGCTGAGGGACCCCAAGTTTCTTCTATGCAGGAAAGAAATCATATGGGAGTCAGTGTAAGTGTGAGAAAAGTTTTCTTGGAGGTGAAAATATACACAAGAGAGAATGGTGCCTTAGATCTCAAGGCTGCTGATATATGTACTTGTTTAGTTTGTTGGGGGCAGGAGCTTACAGATGGGGTTCTGATCAGTTTGATAGAAGTTTTACAACTACAGGTACCCAGTGTATGTGATAAGGGTCTAAACTGATAGGGTTTGGGTTGCTTTGCTTTGGAATGTGCATAGCTGTTTTTTCAGTTACTAAATGTGAAAATTCCTTTTCCACCTTACATATAACTAGGAATAAGGTCAAAGTATCATTTAAATTTTCAGCGAAATAAGCAATAAAGAAAAAGAAAAATACCGGATGGTCTCACTCATAGCAGGAATCTAGAAAACCTAAATAAGGGACCAGGAAAAAGAATAGCTATAAGAAAGAAAAAATCAAAATCAACAAACAACTATGAACCAGAGACACATTGTGGGGGGGGCACGGGGGAAAGGAGGGATGGGGTCAAAATAAGGGGGCTGCAATTGTATGGGGAATATAAAAATAAAATAAAATAAAATAAATTTAAAAAATAGGGGAAAAAAAGACCCCAAATGCTTCTAATAAAAAAAAAAGTAAAATTATAAAATTATATCTACATTTTGTCCCAAGAAATTACTTACTCTGTAGCCGGGTGATTTATTAATTTGCCTGATGACACTGGTTAAGTTTCTTAGATGTAAGTGAAAGATATATTTATTAAATTGCCATTTTTTGTTTTCACTGACCTTCCTACCTGCAGTCTTTTCTTGCCATAAATCATCCTCCAGACAGCCAGAATAAGGATCTTACTAGCTGAACCTATTAAGATACTGATATGATCAAGAGTTTCTTGATAAAAATCCCTGAAGGACATACCATTAACTACAGATTAAAGCAAACTGTTCAGTTGGACCCACAATATCCTAAAGCTCTTTCTACTGTCCCTGGGCTTACCTACCCGCCCCCCAACCCCCGACGACTTATGATTCTGCTAACTCATAGCCAGCCTGCAGGACTGAGTTTGGGTCTTGCAGGAACCATTCTCTGACATGCAATCACTGTCTACCCTATGTCCTATAAAGCCCACTGTCCTGGCTTACAGTTGTCTTTATACGCAGATAAGAAGTTGGATCAAGTGGTTTGTTCGGTCCCCTTTCTTAGTTAAGATTACTTTGTAGGTGATGTCATACTCCTGAAATGTGAATAGTTGGTTGTCTCTTTCTGCAATATCGGCTGCTCAAGATGAACAATTCATTTGAGGTTGCAAAATGCTGGTTCAAACAATATTGTTCAAACAATATTGTACATTGATCTTTTTTTAATCTTATTTCTTCATTTATCTTTACAATTTCTTTCATTCAACTTTCTTTGAATTTACTTTTTGTTCTAGATTTTAGCTCATTAACTTCCAAATTTTATTTTTTAAAGAAGTATTTCAATTTTTCTACATAATTAAATTCCCTTTAGGACGTACTATGTTTGACTGTGTCCAGAGGCTGAAATGTGATGTTTTCTTTATAGTTCAGTTGAAATATTTTCAAATTTCCACTGTTTATCCTGTGATGCTGAGTCATCTGGAAGTGTGTTTTTAAATGTCTAAATGTACAAAGGTTCCTCTTTCAAATGGCATTCTTTCAAATAACATTGCAGAAGATCAGCAAACCTAAAATCACAGCCATGGAAACTTTCCAAGATGATATCAGAAAAGAAAAAAGTATGGGGGAAAAAAGAAAGAGGTACCATTGACCTGTGGGACAATAACAAACGGTCTAAGGTACTTCTATTTTAGGAGTCCCAGAAGGAGAATACCACATGGCAAAGAATTGAAGGTAGCCTCTGGCAAAGAGCTGGCAAGGAACTGGGATGTCAGTCATGTCATCAACCCATGAAGAATGGAGTCTCCTCAAGAGCCCTCAGTGTGAGTTGGAAGCACATACTTCCTTAGGTGAGTCCCAGCACAACCACATTGCCAGCTAACTGCTGGACTGCAGGCACCCACAAGCGGAGGGCCCAGTGAACACACCCGATTCTGTCTTCTTCATATACACTGTGATAACAAACATGATTTCAGCTTATTATGGTTTGGAGTCATTTGTTATGCAGCAATTGATAACTAATATGATGTTCTTTGAGAACAGTGAAATTGAACACAAAAGGAAGAATCAACAGGCAAGAAAATATGAACAACTGTGTTAAATCTAAGTAAGGGGCCTCCCCGGTGGCACAGCGGTTGAGCGCTGTGTTGCGAAGCTGCCCGCAGCCTCTCCAGTGCCAGTTCGATCCCTGGCCGCTGGGCAAGGGTCCCACATGGTGCGCAGACCTCTCCTGCCGCCTGCTGCTCCTCCCAGCAATGTATTTCATCAGTCTGCCTGTTCTGTTCCCCGCTCTGGCTCTGGTGAATTCTCTCACCCTCCCACGCTTCTGACTGTACCCAGTGCTTGTATAAATAAATAAATAAATCTTTTTTAAAAAAAAATCTAAGTAAGAATCAGGAAAGGACACAAACACATTGATTCAAAAGACCACCTGTACCCTATGTTTACTGCAGCACTATTTACAATAGGTAATACCTGGAAACAACCCAAATGCCCAAAGATAGATGACTGGATCAGGAAGATGTGGCATATATACACAATGGAATATTACTCAGCAATCATAAAAGATAAACTCATGCCATTTGCAGCAACGTGGATGGAGCTAGAAAGAATTATGCTCAGTTAAATAAGCCAGAAGGAAAAAGAAAAATATCAGATGGTTTCACTTAGAGCAGGAATATAGGGGAACCAAATAAGACATCAGTGTAAAAAAATAATAACAGTACAAAGCACAACAAAGCAGAAACAGACAATTATAAAGCAGAGACCTACTTGGGGGGGGGCCGGGGAGGGGAAGGGAGAGGGATCAGAGGGAGGGAGGGAGGAGCACAGGGGACTGAGGTGATGGTGCACGGGTGCAGTAGTGAAGGAAACCCTACTGGGACTACACCTGAGGGGGTGGGGGGAAGCAAATATTGTTTAAAAATGAACAATGATATAAAAAATAAAAAGATAATAATTAAAAAATTGAAATAAATAAAATAATAGCAATGATGATTTTATCAGAGGATAAAAATAAAAGCAAGATTGAAGAGTTGAGAGGAAGAATAGTTTGGAATTTACATATTTCTATTTCTTTGAAACTAAAACAAATGCTTCTGCTGATGTGTGTGTGCGCGCATGTGTGCATAAAAGAGTTTTTGTCTCCTTGTTAAAAAGTATTTCCTCCAGGGGGCCTCCCTGATGGTGCTAGGGTTAAAGTCTCAGCACTAGCAAGCCATTACCAGCCACTATGGCACGAGTTCAATCCCCATAAGTACAGCAGTTACTTATAGGCATTTCTGAACATTAGTCTGCAGCAAAGCTTCAATTTGGGGCCTATTTAGAAGAATCCATTTCTATATCAATCAACCTTAAACTTTAATCAACATTTTAACCTCCCAATTCTCCTTTGAAAGCTTCATCTTCATGCAAATTAAAATCACTTTGCATACCTTTTCCTCTATCAGATTATTTTTAAAATACGATGTTTGACAGCACATGATGTTGGTGAAGCAGGCACTCTGGCATATTCCTATTGGTATGCAAAACAGACTGACTTATATAAAGAACAATATGACAATAATTACACAACTATGTATTATTTATAAAATGTTTATAATATTTAATATAGACTATTTATGTTATGTAATATTTATAAAAATTACAAATCATTTATCCTTTAACCTAGGAAATCAATTCTTGGAATTCACCCTATAGCTGAAACTGTATAATATGAATTATGTGCATACAGTGTTATCTATTTGCAGCATTGTTTGTCATAACCAGATATTAGAAATGTCCTTCAAGAGCCCGTCATTAGATTAGTTAAACAAACAAATTGAGTTACCACCCTATGGTTGAATAACACACAGCTGGAGGAAAACACGGAAGCTCTTTGTGTACTGATGTATGATAATTTCCAAGACGTACTGTTAAGAGAAAAAGGCAAAGTACATAATAGTGAATATAATGAATCATGTTTTGTGTAATAGGGGGAAAAAGAAGAATATTCCTGCTCATATTGCTTGAACTTCCATAGATAAACACCGGAAGGAGGAGGAATAGGTTAGATGACAGGGTAGGGACAAGACTCCACAATGTAGCATCTGTGACAGTGTTTTGAATTTTGGACCACCAAATGCCATTACCCACTCAAAACAAAACAAAAATAAACAAACTTAAAAAAAAATCCATCTTTCCATTGTTCATGGATTTTTCTAAGCTTGTTGTGCTTTTGATAATCTGTATATATATATATATATATATATATATATATATATGCATTCAAGGCACTCCAGCAAGGCAGGAAAATGCCAACTAAGTCTCCGATACGAGAAAGCTTAGAGCCAGCATATGAGGGAAAGCTTGTTTCAGAACATTAGCAAATGACAAAATGACCTAATTTTCTACCTAGAAGGAAAAAAATGATACCAATGACTTTCATAGATTAAAAAAATCAAGGCCCAAAATGTTAAGTGACTTGCTACAGTCAATTCAGCTAACTTAGGGAGAAATCAGTACTTGAATCCCAGGACTCTTGATTTTATAAGCTCAGTGTTCCTTTATTTTTTCATCTCTTAAATTTATTTATTCATTTATTTATTCATTTTACATCATTGTTCATTTTTGTACAGTATTTACTTTCTCCTCTCGGGTATAGTCCCAGTAAAATTCCCACCACCATAGTCCTTTGTGCGCTCCCCCTCCCCTGTTTTGATCTCTCTCCCTTCCCCTCCCCTGCAGAATGTCTCTGATTTATAGTTACCTGTTAATTTTGGTTTTTCATTATTATTTTTCCTGATCCCTTCTTTGGTTCCCCTGTATTCCTCCTATAAGTGAAACCATCCGATATTTTTCCTTTTCCTTCTGGCTTATTTCACTGAACATAATCCCTTCCCGCTCCATCCAAGTTGCTGCAAATGGCATGAGTTTATCTTTTTTTGATTGTTGAATAATAGTAAGTATTCCATTATGTATATATACCACATCTTCTTGATCCAGTCATCTGTTTTTAGGCATTTGGGTTGTTTCCATACCTACTATAAATAGTGCTGTAATAAACATAGCGGTACAGGTGTCCCTTCAGTAGATCCCTAGGGATGGAATTACTGGGTCATATGGAAGCTCCATTTTGAATAGTTTGAAAAACCTGTACACAGCTTGCCATAGTGGTTGGACCAGTTTGCACTCCCACCAGCAGTGCAGGAGAGTTCCTTTTTCTCCACATCCTCCCCAACATTTGTTGTTGCTAGATTTTTTTAATATGTGCCATTCTCTCTGGTGGTATCTCATTGTGATTTTGATTTGCATTTCCCTGATTATAAGTGAAGTTGAACCTTTTTTCATATGCCTGTTGCCCATTTGCATTCCCTCTTTGGAGAAATGTCTGTTTAGTTCTTCTGCCCACTTCTTGAATGGATTGTTTACTTTGTTTTTGTTGAGTTATGTAAGCTCTTTGTAGATCTTTATGATCAGCCCCTTATCATTTGTATGGAGTGCAAAAATTTTTCTCCCAAACAGTTGTTTTTGGTTAATGTATCTTCTGCTGTATGGAAGCTTTTTTTAAGATTTATTTATTTATGCATACAAGAACTGGGGTACAGGCCAGAGGTTTGGGGGCGGAGTGAGAGGATTCACCAGAGACAGAGTGGGGAGCAGAACAGGCAGATCTACTGAACTACACTGTTGAGAGGAGCAGTAGGTGAGGTAGGAGAGGTCTGCTGCGCCATGTGGGTCACCTCATTGGCCAGATATTGAACTCATGCTGCAGTGGCTGTGGACAGCTTCACAGTGCTGTGTCTTCTTAACCACCTGTGCCTCCAGGAAAGCTTTTTAGTTTGATGTAATCCCCGCTGTTTATCATTTCTTTCACTTTCTTTGCTTTAGGGGATGAATCTTTATCATTGTTCCTTTACACCTAGATGCCCCCCTATTGATTAATTATACTCTGATGAGATAAAAATAATTAAAGAATGTAAAAGTGTTTAAGAATTTTAACATATATTAACTACTTTGACAACCCCAGCGTATTATTATAAGGTAGTAGAGTAATAGTTAAGATCATGTTCTCCAGAGGCAGACTCTGAATCCCAAATTCATCACTTTGGTGGTGTGTGACCTTACAAATTATGTAACATCTTAAACCTCAGTTTCCTCATCTGTAAATTGAGATATGGCTGTATGCACCTTGATAAGAGGAGTAAAAAAGGTAATAACATAATGGGCTTGGCCTGGCACCTGATATGAGTTCCCTAAATGTTTTTGTGATTGCTTTATTTTACAGATAAAAAACTGAGGTTCAAGGCAATGGTTGCATATTTTGCCCAATGACACATGGTTTACAAGAAAATAACTCAATCTAGGTTTTCTCACTTTAAAAACTCATATGCTTACCATTCCATAAATTGTAGATTCAATGCACTTGGTTTTCCTCTAATCATTACAATTTGTTTTATTTTGTAACTCAGTCAATACCACCTTCTTTACAGAAAAGAAATCAGCTTTTAAGTAAATAAGATTTTACCTTGTTGCCATTAAATGATCCAACATATTTTAAATAGAAATATTTCAGGTAAGCTAACATTTACATATAAATTATATATATCATAATAAATAATGTTATAAATGACATATAACTAGTATCTATTATAGAATCAATGTCATAATATATTTTATATATAATTATAATATTTTAATATAAGTATATGTATTTATATGTAACCTTATCTGGATATAATTTATTTATGTGAGCAAAATCTTTTCAAACTACCTACTAGAAGTCGAAGAATACAATATTAGCATATACAAAATAACTAGTATTATTTTGCAAATATAAGCAAAATGTAAGCATACCTGCCAGTGTACAATA